CCTGCTGCTTTGCTATTTGTGCCTTTCCAGCTCATCCCAGGGAACTGATTTCACATCTGGGTTTCCATCAGTCCCACTGTCCAGCTCTTGTGCAGTAGTAGCACAGTGCCACAGGGGGGCAAGCTGCAGAGCACTGTAGGGCGACCTTAGAAATCCAAATCCAACCCTTTCTTCCATTGTATGTTGGTTGACATGCTCTGTGTGTGTCATTTCTATCAACCCTTTAGCTTTGCTTGTAAAAGAGAGTTGCTGTATTTACCCATATACCACACATACTTTTTTTCTCAAAAATCTGCCCTCCAAAATTGAGGTGCAATGCTTTCTTCACTGGAATAGAAGCATGAAGATGCTGTGTTGCAAAATGGCTGCCAGCTTCTCTCAGCAAGCAAGCAGGAAGGGTGGAGTGCAGTGTTAACCCTTTCACAGCTGGTCTCAGCATGCTGGCCGAGAGAGAAGCTGGCAGCCATCTTGCAATACTACTTCTCCATGAAAAAGCCATCTCTAGGCCCTGAGTCTGAAAAATGTTTTTTTTTGTACATTCAGCCTTCCAAAAAACAAGGTGCATGTCTTATCTGGGGATATGTGTATGCAACATAGTACACTATTTAGGGCCTGGGTTAACCTGAATCAATGTCCTTCATACTGCAAACAATCTCCCGTCTCTTGAATTCTGGGATTGCAAAAAACACTGCAACGTGTGGAACCTCAAGCACCCTGTCCTCACAATACCTTTTCAAGCTTCTGTACTGGCATACTCTTGCGTTCCAGGCATTTTGCAAGTAATGAGGTCTGTTCCAGCTCTAATGGTGCAGTCCATATTTTTCTCCTCCCACTCTCCTGTGTGTAGCTGGGAAGCATAAAGCATTGCAGCTGTACTGATTGAATCACCTGTATCCCACAATTCCCTGCTTCATGTGTGGGTATTCATTGGTGTTCCTTTCTTTAAGTGGTCTGGACTAGGCATCATGGAGAAGGTGCTTTATAGTCCCAGAATGCACTAGTGCAAATACAGCTGCAAGGGTTGTGACAAAATGGGCTCCCTCATAAGAAAACAATGAGGCTGTCTGGAAGACACTTAACCCTGGGAAGATAAGTGAGATAGCTAAGCATTTCAGGCAGTGGGCCCCTTCTTTGAGTGAGGACACACTTTCCGACTCCCACATCCCAGCTTCGCTAGCTGAAGTGGCAGGGAGTTTGAGATCCAGGACAGCCTCACTTCTGCTCTCCAGGCTTGTATTTTCTGCATCTCTTCTGCAACTTGCAGCAGAACCTGCTTCTGCTGAGTTCTGGTGAGAACAAGTGTCACTTGGAGGCTGCATGGAAGAGACAAAGCTGTAGCTATTAGAGTACCCTAAAAGGGTTGGGGAAAGTGAAAGGAGTTTTCTGGATCCCAGGCTTTCTATAACTGCACCCAGCATAGACGTTGCCTGTCACAGGTCTGTCGTCTTTAGCAGCTGTCAGGGGAGAATGAAGATGCACCTTGTCAGCATTCCTGGTCTGAAGAGTAGGTGGAGCTGTTGCCAGACTGGTTATGTCTTGTCATGGAGAAACTCTGCTTGTAAGAGAACCTGTGTGATGTGGCCATATCACCATGGCACAAGTGCTATCTGCACTCCGCCATACCATGCAACCATGGAAGGTGTAAGAAGCAGTGGCATCATTACCATTCCTATGAAGAAGGGCTCAGCACTCAAGTCCGCTAACTACTGTCTGGTCTTCTCCTCCCTTAAGTGGATCTGCTTCTACTCACCCCTCTTCTTCAAGAGAGGGAGAGATTTACACAACCCAGCCACAGTGTTGTTGCTGTCCAGCAGCAGTATGTGGCTTGCATTATAGAAGGTAAGGTATTTGGTAGATCATAAAGAGAGGAAGTTGTACAGGGGAAGGGGGCATGCAGTGGATAGGGCACTAGCCTACACCTTGGAAGAACCAGGTTCAAGTATTTGCTCTGTCACAAGTTTCCTATGTGACCTTGGGCAAGTCATTTAGCCTTGCTTCCGCACCTGTAAAACTGGGGTAATAGCCCTGCACTGTCTCACTTGGCTCTTGGGAGGGTGAATCCAGTAATGATGGCAAGGTGCTCTGATACTGCCATAACACAGGCCATGCCAGCATTTCACATAGCTCTATAAAGAAGCACCTGCTGTGTCCAGCCTTGCTTCCCCCCACAACCTCTGTGTGATGGGGGATTTCTTTACTCTACAAGTGACAGTCTCTGCTGAGGTTGAGCTAGTTTTCTCATGCCCCAAGTTTAAAAAAAAATAGTGAAGAGGGGAAAAAAAACTAGGGGGGGGAAGAGAGATAAT